GGAGGCAGTGACAGATTTTACTTTCTTGGGCTCCACAATCACTGCAGATGGTGACAGCAGCCACAAAATTAAAAGACGCCTGCTTCTTGGGAGCAAAGCGATGACAAACCTAGACAGCATCTTAAAAAGCAGAGACATCACCTTGCCAACAAAGGTCTGCATCGTCAAAGCTATGGTTTTTCCAGTAGCGATGTATGGAAGTGAGAGCTGGACCATAAAGAAGGCTGACCGCCAAAGAATTGATGCTTTTACATTGTGCTAGAAGAGACTCTTGAGAGTCCCCTGGACTGCAAGTAGAACAAACCTATTCTGAAGGAAATCAACCCTGAGTGCTCACTGGAAGGACAGATCCTGAAGCTGAGGCTCCAATACTTTGGCCATATCATGAGAAGAAAGATCTCCCTGGAAAAGACCCTGATGTTGGGAAAGTGTGAAGGCAAGAGGAGAAGGGGACGACAGAGGACGAGATGGTTGGAAGCTACCAACATGAATTTGACCCAACTCTGGGAGGCAGTGGAAGACAGGAGGGCCTTGCGTGCTCTGGTCCATGGGGTCATGAAGAGTTGGACATAACTTAACGATTAAACAAATAAAAAATAAGACAAGGAGTACTCTGGGGCCCATAAACATGCTAAATGCTTCCTGGAAGGTTTGAGGGTTAAATACTCAGAGGGGGAAACCTTGGGGCTTTCTTCCTAAAGACTGTTTTAGATTTCTACAAGATGTGGTATTTGAGAGTCCATTAATGTTCCCCCCACCATTCCCTCCAAGCTGCAGAGGTGCGTGGCTGTGCAGCACTGTATTGCTGATACGCACCCACAGTTAGTGAAGACACTTATTTGGCAATATTTAAAAAGTGAAGATTATGATAAATAAGAATTTTTTTCTCTGAATTACAAATACTTTGTTTTCAGTCATGGTATTTCAAATGTAAAACAAAACTGTTGTGGAAAGCAGGCTTGAAAGGTGCTTACCGTATTTGCCAGCGTATAAGATGACTTTTTTGCCCTGAAAAGCATGCTTCCGGGGGGGGGCGTCTTATACGCCGGGTGCACCCAGAGCGGGCAGCACGTAGTGCAAGGAGGAAAGAGGAGAGGTGAACGAGGAAGAGGAGGAGGAAGAGGAGGCAGAGGCAGCACCTCTTCTCCCAAGGAGGCAGCGGGCGGCTCCGGCTCTCAGGTGCCGCATGGCCCAGCAGGAAGCAGCATGGAGAGGCGAACCCAGCCCAGGAAGTAGGCAGAGCTTGGTCCCCACCGGCTCAGTCACTTCCTCACACAGTTGCCCTCACGGAAAGCAGCAGCAGCAGCGCCGCTCCTTCTTCCCCGTGACCTACCACCATGTTGCCCAGGTGGAGAGAAGCTGGCAAGCAAACGGCGCCTGCGACAAGCCAGCGCCGCCCCACTCATCGCCAGTGCCGTCGCCGCACTGGACTCCCAAGGAGACTTCCTGAGGCCAGGCAAGCGAGCAGGCGCTGGCCTCTGCCTCGGGCCAGCTGGTAGCCCGCCCCAGAAACTTGCTTTCCTTCTCCTCCCTCTTTGGCCCCTCCGGGGGGGGGTAAAAGGCAGTGGGAGGGGTAGTCTTACATGGTGGGTATATAACGAACACTATATTTTGAGTGGAAATGTTGGGGTTGTCTTATACGCCCAGTCGTCTTATACACCGGCAAATATGGTAATTTTTTTTTATTTCCAGGAGGCAGTCATTAAGATTTTCTAGTTTTTAGCGTGTCAGGTTTTTTTTTAATTTTATTAAAGAGAGGCATAGGTTAGATATGTTGAGAAATACTGATCTGTAACACTGTGGAATTCACTGTCAAATTGTACCTACAGACTAGACAGAAGCAAAGAAGGATGCAACTAGCATCAAGCCATGATAACACTTCTTACATTAAATCATTACACCAGTCTGCAGAACATACTGTTGATCAATTTCATGCCACATACTTTCATATCTATACTGTATGCTCTTAAGTCTATGCTATATCAGAATTTAAGTGATGCTACAGAACTACACAAGCCATTCTACAAACAGATAAGCTAATATAAATTAAAACTTAAATCTTCATACTTCTTTTTTAATCCCATTATTGTAGTTTAACAACTCGCTTTTGTAGGAGTGGGGAAAACAATCTTTGTCACTCAGAGCCTCATGCTCAATTTATCCAGTAATGCCAGTCTAGTGCTAGTGACATTATAATTGCTGCCATGGTAGCAAATTGTGAAGTCACAAACACTGATTGATTCATTTCATGGCACAACTCAGTAGGGAAGGTCAGACGGTTTCCTTAATTAAGATAAAGAATCATTTACAAGTTTGAAGATAATTCTTTGGCAGTATTTTCATTTCACATGTGACTGAAAAACAGAAAGCATATTCTTGTGCATTTTCAGAATGTCATGAAATCTACAAAATGGTCAGGTATATTTAAAAGATGAAAAGAAATCAGTTTCAGTTCTTTCTATTAAGTCACCTGCACACATAATATAATGTACTGCACTAATTCCCATTAATGCAATATTCATTAAACAAATGTAATTTTAAAAATATTTATTTGCTTTCTAGATGACTTAAAATATACTTACCAATAATACCAGTCTTTGATATTTTCTTTTCAAGTCTGTTAGACTATCTGATGGTCCTGCACCAAGAATGCTGTACCAGTCCTTCTGCGGTTGCTCTCTCAAAGCCATCACATAGCTAAGCAATGAAGCAATTCCTAATATCTGTTTTAATGACAAGAACAAAATAATAAACACATTTTCGAAAGAAAATCAAGAGCTCTAATGCTTATGAACATGTGCAAGTAGCAGAGTAACAGTAACATTGTCAATACAAGGATGAAAATGGTAATTGTAGGGTTCCCCTGAAATATTCTTTCCATTTTTTTCTTTCCCTGTTTCACAGACTCAGCAGGCTGAAAATTAATTTCTACGTTTTCTCAGAAGAAATTTTTTTGGAGTTATGACATTTCATCTTAAAATATGAAATTAATTCAAAACTAGCTAGAAAGTGATGCATAGTGAAATTAATGAAGCTGGACAAGAGGGAAAACGCTAAGAATTCTGTGAAAGTTTTATATTAATAAATGAGACTTCCAAAACACTTGCTAGAGTAATGTAGATACCAAAAATATATAGTAATGTAAAGACTAAAAAAACCCCAAAGTAACACCAGATTTCATAGAACGTGGCATGCCCACGCCCTACTTTTATACTTGGCAAGTATAATAACATACTGGTTGGAATTTAAAAATTTTTCATGATAGTATTTTTCCCAGTACATTGGCTAGAAGCTTGAGTTTCAGGTTTTTATGTCTTAGAAAATACACCGCTGCCATCACTTTTGAAGGTGGAGGGACTTAGAAGTTGATGAGCAGTTTTGAAAGATCTAGCCTTAGAAGTGTCTAAAAGCAGGGTTCCAGCAACTGAGAATTTTTCTGTCAAGAAGTATTCAACACATTGTATATTACAAAGTACTAATCTCACTAAATTCTTGACATTTATTCCTTAGCAAGGGTGGAAAGGATTTCAACTTTATTATCAGGATGTACTCGACTGCAACCTTGAAAAACTTTTGTACAAGATCCTATGAAACTACTTCCTAATTTTTCAACAGAAACAGAGAGAGAAAAAACAAAAAACAAGAAAGCAAACAGAACTATCTTCCACTGTACTTAACGAAAGAAAATTGTAATCCTGATGCCTCTCTTCAGTACATAATATAATAGTGTCAGGCAATGCGTAACAGCTCATTACATTAATGAACAGCAAAAAAAGAGAGGAAACCTTTGTAACATGCTGACATGATAATGACAGCTTCTCATTCTCATTAACCACACATCACAGAAGTTTAGGGCCAAGGAGACAATGATTCAAAGAACTGGAAGACAGAGTGAACAAATATCCATGACACTTGCAAGCAACGGAGATGATGACACGCACAACCACAGAAGGCACTTGTTCCATCTGACACATCTTCTGAACTGTTAAGGAAAACTCTTTCCTGAAGAGCAATAAAGGTTGAAGAAAGAGTTTCAGAAGACTTGGGTAAGCAACTGGTCCTCCAAAGTGTTTTGAAATATAACTAGACTTTTTCAGTAAATAACAAACAATAGCAATATAGAATCACCGTAGCTCCTGAGTGACTTACTATCTTGGCTTAATATATCAGCATGAACGCAACGAAGATGTAGCTGTCCCTTATAAGATTGTTCATAATTTATTCAAGAAACTGCTAACAATCCTCAACAAGAGAAAATTGTTTTATTATCACATATATCAACAGCAAAATAATTATCCGAATGGTGTTCAATAAGCAAAACCACATCAACTGCACATAATAGGGAGGTATCACGATACTAAGGAGAGATTTTCAGAAAAATTGTTTTTATTTTTTCACAAGAAGACAAAGAACTCTGTCACCTCTCCAACAGACAACCTAACTGGAACTAGGCACATTGATTCAGTTCTGAAAAACAAAACAGACCCCCTTGTTCAGTCATTAAGGTGTGTTTATAGCGCACACTCACTGAGCATTACTCTCTCTGCTGTCATGTTGAATACATAAATGCAACTTTCTAGAGAATCAGATTTGTCTGGGCAGTCCCTCAATGTGAGGCACAACCTCAAGCGAGCGGGTGAGCTAACGTGGAGAGCTTTGCCATCAACAGAAGTCTCTCTCTTTCAGTCTTATTTCTGTGTTCAATGAGCCAACATAGGAGGCAACATTAGCACACTGCCCTAACACCTGTGTTCTCCACATACTTCCTTAATAAATGAATAGGGATAAAGGCTAAAACTCCTCCACAAGGGAGTGTTACAGCTAGCCTAAAAGAGGTGGTGGTAACACTTTTACTGAAAAAGTCTTTTTCCATTCATGAGAAAAGTGCCGGTGCATGTCATGGTTTTTCAGTGCCAAATGTTCCTGGATGAGACAAACTATCAAGACCCATTTCAATCTGGTTTCAGGCTTGCTTATGGAAAAAAACCCGCTTTGGCTGACTTGATTAAAATGTTGGGATAATAACAATTTTGCATGCTTTCTAACAAAAGGTTTCAGTGGAAGGGGCTTTTACAGCCTAATGTGATTGTCCTCTGCCACTAACCTATTGGTAAAGTTCTTTATCCCACCTCTGGCATTGAGGCAAATCCCTTTCCTCCTCTTTCTGTTTGTGTGCTTCCTTTGTGTTGTTGTTTTTTTTGTTGTTGTTGTTGTTAGTCTCTTTTTCTTCTTCCACCTCCAAGCATGTAGCAGGCATGGAAGACATCTCTTCCATGTGGTGGAGATTCTATATTCCCCCTTTTTCTCTCTGATTACACCTACAGATGGTAACTGTGAGAAAATACGTTTTTCACCCCTACGTTAAATGCTTCTAGGATGTTTTTATCATAGAAAGTGCAAGTTTATGTGAAGAAACAAAGACGGGGCGGTTAACGAGAACTGGGCTATTCTCTGAACTGCTGCTGTTTGTTCTTTGTACTTCATACTCTGCTAATAAAAGAAATAACTAAAGTTCCACAACAGAAAGACCTATGATGGGAACCGGAGAGGGGAAATATGTTCCTATTGTTTTCTGCTGGACATTTGATGACTTTCAATACCATCATCCAGGATATTCTTTGAGACTGCCTCTCAGTGATGTTATGTGGAAGCCCCATTTTGCAATGACTCATCCCTCCTAGTAGCTGATCTCAGTAATGCACTAGATGAATATTAAATGAGACAAGTTCAAGACACTCCTGGTAACTGGAAAGGCAGACCAGGGAATGAGAATCAAGCCTATGCTGGATGAAGTCATACTTCCACTGAAAACTCAAGATTCATAGCATGGACGTATACCTAGATTCAGCCCTCAGCCTGCATGCCCAGATTTCAATTACAATTAGGAATGCATCTCCACAATTAAAGCTCGTGTGCCAGTTGTGCCTGCTCCTAGAGATGTCTAATCTGGTTATGATGACACATGATTTAGTTACATGGTAATGCCTCTGAAGAATGTTTAGAATCTTCAGCTGTTCCAAAATGCTCCTGCCAGCCTAGTACCCAGCTTTAGTTACAAACAGCAAATAACTCCCCACTACAATAACTTCACTGCCTGACAGCCTATTTCAAGCTCCAATACATCAAGTTGATTTGATTATCTATAAAAGCCTATACAATTTAGGGCCATTCACACATTGGGTAGGAATGGTCTGCATTCCCACGAAGAAGCTAGATAGGTAGAAAAATATTAGACTATATTAGACAAAGACTGAAAGCCTGTTGCTTAGCACAGTAAATTGCACTACAGCAGGCCCACTGAATCAATGAGGAGTTGTGAATCAACCCATCCATAGGTTCTACTGACTCAAACAGGCTTACTTTGGTTGTCTCCTACAACTACAGTAAACTCATTTGAATCAAAGGAACATAAGAGATTTGGTGAATAACTTCTTCCATAAGCATCCGTGTTGGCCTACTCTTGTTGCCAATTACTTTAGCACAGTAAGTGGCAACTAGAGTAGTCCACTTGAATCAATGGAAATTATGGAGAAGTTGACTCACCAAATCCCCACTGATTCAATGGGGATACTCTAGTGCTAACTAGCAAACTGAATTAGCTAATGAGTCTTGCTGCCCTTAAAAGATGAACAACAAATTTTATTCTGCATAACACTGTGGATCATAGCAGTAGTCAACTACCCAATGGAACTTGCTAATCTTTTAAACTACCTTTAAGGTTAGTCTTTCAGGACACTTTGTTGTTTCTGCAGCACAATGATTACCTCTTTAGGGCATCTGTCTCTCCGTCCATCCATCTCATTTTAAATACAGTGGTGCCCTGCTTGACGACGATAATGCGTTCCAGCAAAATCGCTGTACAGCGAAATCGTCGTCAAGCAGAAAAAAACCCATTGAAATGCATTGAAAACTGGTCAATGCGTTCCAATGGGGGAAATACCTGATCGTGCAGCGAAGATCCTCCATAGGGCGACCATTTTCCACTCCCTGTCTTTCGAAATGAGGTCAGCAAAACAGCGGGGAGCCATTTTGAGAGCCGCTAATCAGCTGTTTTGAAATCATTGTGAAGCAAAAAATCGGTTCCCGAAGCAGGGAAAAAAGCGGAAAAAAACCCATTTTCGTCGTAAAGTGAAAAAACACCATTTGAATCATCATTTTGCGATCGCTATAGTGATTGCAAAAACGTCATTGTCAAGTGATTTCATTGTCTACCAGGGTAATCATCAACCGGGGCACCACTGTATGTTTAATCCACCTTTCTCCTTAAAAAGACTTCCTTGGCAGCTTATATCATTAAAAAACATATTTTAAACCTAAAAAACAGTATTATATAAACATTAAAAAGAATCAAACAAGTGTCACACTAAACATAGAAAACAAAATCAATACTAAAAACAGATTCAAAACAACAAGGCACAACATCAACTGGGCCAATGCATGCTCAGGTCAAGAAAGAGAGACTGGGTTACCTGACATGCTTAAATGGCTATGCCTTGGAGCAACGCGTCATAGAGCCCATCAGAGGACAGGTGATTCTGGATTTAATATTGTGTGGTACTCAGGACTTGGTTAGGGACTTGAATGTCACTAAGCCACTAGAGCAGGGGTTTCAAACATGCAGCCTGGGGGCCATCTGCAGCCCGCCGGATGATAGTTTGCGGCCCCCACCTTGCCTGCCCCTCCGAAGCGCCCAAGCATCCACTGCTGTCAAGAGTAAAAAAAA